AGTCCTCGTGGAACAAGCCTGTTCAGCTATTAAACGTGAGGGAAGACCTGGTTTAAAGCAGAGAATCATAGAAGAGCATCATAGAATTGTTTAGGTTGGAAAAGACCTTTAAGATCATCAAGTCCAACCATTACCCTAACCCTGCCATCCCACCACTAAACCACGCCCCTAAATGAAATGAATGAAATACTAGCCTGCGCTACGGAAATGCCGTGCAACGAGTCTGAGTGGAAATCTCATGCTTAAAAGCAATTCTCATCCCATGAGACACACCGCCCACCCGAAGCCCTTCTGTCTGTGGGTATGTGCTGCCTCTACCATTACAAAAATTCCTTGGACAGTATGAAAAAGCAGAAAGCACAAGTTTTTGGAAGAAAAAAACCCTTGCTTTTATGCGTGACTGAAATAACCTTGATCATCAATGTGGGAAATCCCATTTCTGCTGTTCAAGGCAATGAGAAACCGACAGTATGTTTATAGGCAAACGTCCATCCTATGTTACGTGTCAGCCACTACCACTTACTTATCTTCCAGAAGTACACCTGCTTAGCAGGTTACCTCCAAAATCATTCTAAGGAATAAGAGTAATACGCAAAATACAAAAAGAGGTTTCAAAGTGTTTATTAGTAATTGTGCTATTCTCAGTCTAAGATGGATTTAAAGCCTCATCCTACGTAAGTCCTTGGCACATCCTGGCCATCCTCACCCCACAACAGTCAGGATACATGTCCAACAGTTCTCTGTGTCTGTAGAAAATAACCCAAGTGTGTCCTTCCTATAGAGCTACAGAGATTATTTTTCACGTGTTATTTCCACAGCAACCTGCATTCCTCCAATCTTTGAATCTTTACTGATTTTTGATGTTAAAGAAACCCTTCAGCATAAACAGTGGCAGCCAACGCTCCTCTGGCAAAGCTCAGAGCGGAGAGAAAACAAATGGACCCAGACTGAAATTCTCACAGTAAACGATATAGTCAGGCTGAAACACATTTTTCTTCCAGCAAATCTGTGTTATTTTGAAAAAAGTGTGCTTTTTGAGAAAATACTTGTAAACTTGAGCAACTATGCCTTATCTTTTTTCTTATGTATGCAAATAGACAAGGGGAAAAGCTTTGGAATGACTCCATATCACAGTCATGACAAACAAAATTTAAAAACTGGAAGGCACTGTTAGTGTAAAACCCCTTGCAGCTTTTATCACAGTGTTCATTAGAAGTTAAGAAACATAGGAACCGAGTTCATTTTAGTTCATACCAGTAAGCAGTGCAAAAATAGCTTATTTAAAAATAAAACAATCCCCCCCCCATCAGAGGTCCCCTCTTTCCTCAAAAATGTTTTGCTTGGACAGAACACTTTGTGTGATTTGGAAAGAGGGCATCAGCTCCTCTACTTGCTCCTTTGTTAAATACTCACTTTGTTACAAGAGCTTGTGAGATCCACGTACCCATAACACGTTTTTTACTGGTAGCAACCACGCTTGCAACTAAACTCCTGTGTGTCTTAAACTGTGCTTCAGAGCTGTTGCCAGGTTAACGTCGGAATGCTAACACCACTAAAACTGGGCCTACAAGCCATTTACTGTGTTCTTAGATAAAACAGAAATTGATTGAAAACACATTTGGAACAGCCATTTCACCTAACACTTACCTGTCACGGGTCTCTGAGCAGAGTTCCCTGAATCAATCTACACTCTGAGGAGACATGGTCTGTTACACATCACACGGGGAGTGCCCTGAAGTTCTGAGGTGTCCCTGAGACAGTAAAGCGTTAAAGCACCAGGATGCTTTTCCTGGGGAGGGAAAAGCTTTGAAGCTTCACGGAAGACTACCTGAGTTTTGTAAACCACCAAAGAGTGATCGTGCAGCTGGGACTTAAATTTCTGCAACTGTAGGATACAAAGGTTTCTGAAAATGACAGGGTAAGAAAGGAATAAGCGTGAGACAAGCATGGGCTGGGGCACCCACAATAAAGTGGCAACCCAAGAAGTTTTGGTTAAGTTTTATCCAGAGCACAATGAAGAGCTATGACATTCTGTGGCATCTGATAGAATCATTAAGATTTTTCCATCTGTGCCAGAAAACATTTCTCTCAAAGCTGTTGAATAGCTCAATTTTCTGAAAAATTTCCTGTTTGATCCGTTGTGAAGCTCAAGTAGCTCAGGATTCACTGACAGTTATTTTAAAAATCCTGAGTCAAAGTAACACACCAGGGTCTACAAATATTAGAAAACAAAAGCTCTCAGAAGCAGGATAAGGGATGGGGAGTAAGAAAAAAAAATACCACCAGAGTCCTGTGGACAAAACTTACTAGACCATGTCTCCTAAGACTGTGAGATCTAATCAAGAACACTGATGTTGGAAAAAAAAATACTTTGTATTCTTTTAACATTTTTCACCAGATAATCTTGAAGGAATTTACCAAAGTGGGTGCAATTCCCATTATACAGGTGGGGAAACTGAGGCACAAACTGACAACGCAGTTTTCCCAGTATTACAGCACTCGTCAGCAGACTGTAGCATGCACCCTAACCTCAGTCCTTTGCTCTAGCGCACGGACAGCACCTCCTCCCTTGTAAAAGCATTATAGCTGCTAAATATGACACAGCAAATACAAATGTGAATTATGGCACAGATGGTCGTGTGGGTGCACCAATGCGTTTACACAATCGTACTTGTCACCTCCGTCCCATCAGTGGGAAAGAGAGCACTTCATACACACAGTCTTGACAAAACCCCAAATCCTTTCCCAAGCACCGGAGCGACGGAGGGAGGAAGCAGCAACACTATCCTTCCGCTAGAGAAAAAAGACCCAGCGATAGAACATACAGAGCGTTAGCATTAGAGTACAGTAAAACACCACAAAGCCCCAGAGCTGAATGGAAAGGGAGACAAGACTGGATTCTTCTGAATCTGTCCCCAGGGAAAGAAGAGTCTCAACTGTTCTTTTAACGCTGAGGTTTAGCTGAAGAATGTCAGAAGGGGAACAAAGATTGTCCTGTCCAGAGTGTGTGAGCAGGAAGGGAAAACAGACAGAAGAAAAAAAAAGGTCAGTCAGTTAGCCATAGCAACATCCATGAAGCAGTCAGTCATCAGACATCTCAGATATAACCTACACATTTGAGAAGCGTATCGCAGCTGGTTAATTCTCACAAAGGAATCTGCAAGACTCCCATTGCAAAGAACTCACTTAATGCAAATATTTAGTGCTCAGCGAGGTCCCTGTCACTTGTACAGCTTAAACATGTAACTACTCTGTTGTTAGAAATGCAGCAGTCTACACATGCCTTAGTAAAAACCATGAAGAGGCTACAGGTTTCTGAGATGCTGTTGGCACTGAGTACTCACCAAAGCCAAGTCTCCACATGTCTCTTAGTTAATGAAAACAGTAGGACAGGGGATTATTTACATGTAACTGACACCTGAATGCACTATCCTGCAGAAGTATCTATTACTAATTTGAGTTTAAGTGCTCTGTAACTATTCCCACTGCGCATCTTTCTCCTCCCTCTCACACAGGTAACTGCTGTAAAAATCAGTGAAATCTAGATGCACATATCAATCTGTTCAACTTCCAGTTTCTTTTGATGCAAGGGCTTTAACCAGTGAAGCCCTATAGAAATAGCTGCTCCACTGTGGTGCCTGTAACGAGCATTTTCTAACAGTAGCCTTCCTCTCAGAAGGTAAGTATTTCTACATAGATCCATACTTTCGAAAAAAAAAGGTCAGTCAGTTAGCCATAGCAACATCCATGAAGCAGTCAGTCATCAGACATCTCAGATATAACCTACACATTTGAGAAGCGTATCGCAGCTGGTTAATTCTCACAAAGGAATCTGCAAGACTCCCATTGCAAAGAACTCACTTAATGCAAATATTTAGTGCTCAGCGAGGTCCCTGTCACTTGTACAGCTTAAACATGTAACTACTCTGTTGTTAGAAATGCAGCAGTCTACACATGCCTTAGTAAAAACCATGAAGAGGCTACAGGTTTCTGAGATGCTGTTGGCACTGAGTACTCACCAAAGCCAAGTCTCCACATGTCTCTTAGTTAATGAAAACAGTAGGACAGGGGATTATTTACATGTAACTGACACCTGAATGCACTATCCTGCAGAAGTATCTATTACTAATTTGAGTTTAAGTGCTCTGTAACTATTCCCACTGCGCATCTTTCTCCTCCCTCTCACACAGGTAACTGCTGTAAAAATCAGTGAAATCTAGATGCACATATCAATCTGTTCAACTTCCAGTTTCTTTTGATGCAAGGGCTTTAACCAGTGAAGCCCTATAGAAATAGCTGCTCCACTGTGGTGCCTGTAACGAGCATTTTCTAACAGTAGCCTTCCTCTCAGAAGGTAAGTATTTCTACATAGATCCATACTTTCAGAAAGCCTTTTATTTTTGTAATTAGAATTTAAATGAAAGGAAATACCTGCAGGCATCTTTTCCAGAAAAATATACTAGGCTGCCACGCCATTCTTGCATACTGATACCTTACGTTCACATCTCAGTAGATATGTAATGCAGACACTGAGAGCAACTTCAGAGTTCAGGTGGGGGTATTTCAGTACATTGCCCCAGGAGACACTCTGCTCGAACTCCTTCACATTAAAGCAAGAAATAGGAGAAAACCAGGAGGGTCTAGACAGTAGCTGTAGCAGACTGGGTCCGTAGGGGACTTCTTCTTTAGTGGCTTGTTTGTTTGTTTTGAAATGTGGGTCATTCTGGTGATCTGCTCTTTTATATTTGAGGGAGCTATAAATAGGGAAGCTGGGATGGAATTGAACAATTTTGCCCCAGAGGAATTTATAATGTGCAGTTCTGCTGGGAGTAAAAGTCTGAAGTTTCTTAGGGGACCAAAACTGTGCAGGATCTCAAAGTACTAACGATTACTTACAACTTCCTACCACATTCCAACGCGATTCACCACTGAGTCATGTGAAATTGCCAGGCAGCTCAATAAATACGCTACCCTAAGATCCCAATGGCTCAAATGCCTGCAAGTGAAGCTATCTGAAAACACCAGAAAATACTGCATGACTGACTCGAGAACACTGCTTTTAGAAATAGCTGGGAAATGAGTCACTGGGTCTACTTTTCCCTTTCACAATACAAAAGAAAGAAGACAGCACCTACAACAGAAACAGTAATGCTTAGCAGTATAAGAAACTAAATCAATTAATGCACTAGAAGAAAAATTAAGAAAAACGTGATGTATCAAAACTATTTGTACTGAGACAGCTGCTGAGTAAGACAAAGTGGAAAGGACAGGACAGCATAAAACAGCATCACTGGACTCAATGGACTATTTTATATCGCCACCTCCTAGGTCTTCCAAGTTTCAGAAGAGGACAAGAAATATCAGAAGGTAGACTTCTACCACTGGTATGTAACAAAAGAATTAGGATCTATGCAAAGATAGCTACCATCAGAGAAAGGCAAATAATACTGTAACTTGTTGGTAAGACAGTAAAGACGTTCATGTAAGAGAATTACTCTGAAGGAACATGAAAACTTTGGGATAAAAATAAAAGTGCAAAATATCATCCAAATTTTATCCCACTTCTAAGCTGTCAAATATCTAATCTTGAGAAAATGCAATTGCTTTTATAGAAATACCTTACAATTCTCGAACTGCATCAGCTATTATGAATTTGAGGCACAGCAGTAAGTGAATCAGACCTCTTGACAAACTATATCTGACTTCATTTTGCTCTGGAAGACCACACAAGGGAAGTCTGATCTACAATGCAAGGCACAGCTTATACCTGAACCTTCTAAACTTTCCATCATTTTGTTTTCATCAAACCTTTCAAAGGTTTTATTTTCTGAAGCATCATATAAAGCTGCACCTGAAACACTCTATCAATCAGTATAGTAGAAATACGTACCTGAGGCACTCCAATCCTTCTGCAAGCTTCCAAGAAATTCTCCACGTTTCGTCTGCATTTTGCCATTGTAAGTTTAGGCTGCAAAGTAAAGGAGGCAGGTATATAGTGTTCTGAATTGGCAGAATTTTAAAAGATCTTTATTTTTTATTTAAATAAAACTCTTAATAAACCTCTTTGCCAAAAACATACTGCACTGACATAAGCTTGTCTAATTCAAAGTAGGCTCTGTTGTAGTTTGCTTTTTCTTTAGAAAAGCAAGCCCAAATTTCAGAGCTATTTTATGAAAAGCTAATGTATGAACACTGGATGTTTTTAGAAAAAGACAATTCTAAGCTGTGGAACATTTATATGCAAGGTGTTACATAAAAATTGCTAACACTTCACTGACTACAGTATGATAATTTTAAAAATATATTTCGAATGAAATGCACATGCATGGCTTCCATGCTGTGATTTCAGAGCAATTTCATGGTATGAAGCAATCTGGAGTCTGTTCTGGATTACTACAATACAAGAATATATAAATATCAAACCATATTTCAATTAACAAAGAGTTAAAAAAAAAGAAGGCTAGATGAAACCAGAAAATGATGGAAGAAAACTGGAATTGAAGCTTGCTGCTTGCAAGCCTCTTGTAGATGTGTTTGATGTAGCTGTTTGAATTGTACTCGCTGGCATTTTTTCAAGCAAGCTTTTTCCTACAGTTAGCTTTCACACCTCTACACAAACATACCACAGTACAGGCTCTGTCTTGTTTCTATTCTTGAAGCTTATTCCCTTCTCGTTAAAGAGACACAAGCCTCCTGCTCCTTTGAACAAGCTACCCACATTCTACACAGCAGCACGCAGTGGCCTCTCTGGGTCAGACAGTTTTCCCTATGTGGTGGGGTTTCTGCTCTGTCCCCTCAATGTGCCGTAGTTCCCCACCAAGAAAGCAGGTTAAAGGCTAGCGCTGACTTCTTTCTCCAGACGGCTGATGGGAATACAAAGATCACATTGTCACTGAGGAATGACATGATGCGTCTTCTGCTCCTGGAGCCGAGCAGCTAAAGAGTGCCTCTTCCTTGGGATTGATATGACAAAGCCACGATTTAATTCCTAACACAGAATATTCAACAGCACATAAAACCAGGCCATTGAAAAGATACTCTCAATGACGCAAGTCTTCTGAATAGCGGTTGTATGTCTTTTCTCTTAATGATTCCACAATCTGCCTAAAATGTTGGCGTGTCCAGTTCAATCGTTCTCAAAATAATGAAGACATCTGCTTCTTCTCATTAAGTCCAAGGGAGAGGAACCACAATGATACAGTAGGCAGTCCTCTAAGTGCCAGTTCAAATTCCAACCAATGCAAAGACTGACTCCAAAATATGAAAAGCAAACACAACGTGCATGTTTCAACAACTTCCCCCAGGAACAATCTTCAGTTTTTTTTCCTTATTCTTACAATTTAAAGGTGCATAACAAGCAATCTGCCTCTCCATACTACTTCCAAGTAGCTGACCCTAAATATTTTCACTGAACTTTCTGACTTCCACAAATACAGATTGTGGAACAGAAAATAAACCCCAGAAATTATCTGTTGTTATTTCACAGTTCTTGACCTTTCTCTAATTCTGTGCTTGCCCTACACGTGATACACAGTAATGCACCCAGAAATGTTTCATCTTCATTGCTTTCCAGAAACACTGCAGTCAGGCAGGGTAAGAAAAACAACTGCAGAAATTTTCAAACTTCTCTGTGTGCTTCCTTCCTTGCTCTCAATAGCCCCCAGATACAACACCTTTTTTCCTGTTATCACAAAGGTATGACTGGGTTTGTTTTGTTCCAGGAGATGCTGTTCTTCAAGTAGCTCAAGTGCGCTCTACTAAAATTCCTAAGCAGAGGAATTTGTAGTGCTGTGAAGTGGACACAGGAATCAACTTGGCTTCTCTGCCTGTTTTCACTGTCTTGTGCAGTGGGATCCTAAAAGTTGTAGAGAATGTTGTATTTTCCTACTATCTGTTTTCCTGAACTTCTCAGACCTTCCTGATCTTCTGAAATACCCTATTTCAGATTTCATGCCGAACTGTCTCTTATTTCACTAATTTTCAAGTTAACATAGAGAGGACTTGAAAACATTAATATTTTCTCATGATCTGTGTTAGAAGTAACAATTTAAATGAAACAACCCTAAATATAATTTCTTTTAATGAAGCTATAGACCTTTTTTAAACAGAACAGATGGTTATTTTCTGTCACGTACGTTCACAGAGGACAATGCTGAATTTAGCATTTGTCTGGATTACAGAACTTTGCTGGATATTATTTTGGACACCTATAAAATTCTATCATTATTACATACTTACAACAGCAGGTGAGGGGACATGAATGCTAGGAACAGATCGGGGACGCACATGGTTAGCTAAATGGCACAGAACAACACCATCGGTGAGAGCTGCTCCAAGATCATTGGGCAATGACACTTTCAATCGTGATTCTATATTCTGTAGAAAAATTAATACAGACACGCAAAAAGTAAGAGCTGGCTTCCTACAACTGTTTCATTCTGCAGAACATTTGCAGATGTTTTTATGATGCAGAACATCATAAGAGGCAGAAGTACTTCCATTACAACCCTCTGTCCATCCTTGTGACACTTCTAAACAGCTTTCCAAGTAACTCCATGGAAGGCTCTGTGTACTGACCACAGCCTGGCAGCAGTTAAGTTCAGTGATGAACAGTTTTCATTGTACAACACAGGGGACTAATACAACCATTATTAAAAAATAATGGAAATTGGGGTCAAAGAACAATATTCCTAATCCTATGTATCCTCAGAGAACAGTTCTACCAAGGGAAGTGAAAAGAATTGTCTTTGTGAGATGTAGCACAACATGGCTACCAAAAGTCATGATAACATTTTTCCCTGTAAAGAAAAACCCAAACTACTTGGCATAAATTGTTTTAAAGAAATGAGGTAGGTAGATTTGTGTAAGAGAATGAATAAAATTTCAATTTAGGCTTTTAGTCTTATTTCAAATGCTGTGTGAATTTCACCAAGTTGTTATGCTATATCTACATTTTTTTAAATATTTTAAAAAAAATAAATATTTAAGCTTACCTGGGAAGCAGAACAAGAGACAGACTACATACAAAGCATTCTGAGATAACAGAAGAGAGGCTCTGCAAACAGCACCAAGTTTTGTTTTGTTTTATTTAAGATAACTTTCTCCTCCTAAAGGAGATTGTCCTTACTTTAATATTTACAAAGAGAAGGAACTCTCTCTGCCCATCTGGGAATATTTACAAAGAGAAGGAACTCTCTCTGTCCATCTGGGATGCTTATGACTTTTAAAATCAGCTTTAACAAGTAGGAATTCTTATTTCTTGAGAAAGCTCAAGCAATTAACTAGACTACCTTAAGGAATCCCTTCATGCTCTCCAGAAACAAGTCTGGGGCAAAAGAGGGTGGTACCTTAATGCCATGGGACATTTTCAATATTCACGTGTATTGTCATTGTACCTGGGCACAAACCAGGAGCGTGGTGGCTCTGAACAGGCAGATAGCACGACTATAAGGAATATTTGTACTTCGGATGTTCTGCACTTAACTAAGGATAAGGCAAGAATCAATAGATGGATCCAGAGCCCACAAGGAAACCATGCTATCACCATGACTGGTAGTAGTCTCTGCATTCTACCTGCTGTTCTGTGGGCTTTACAGTAAAGAGGAGTTTTAAAAAGAAGATCAGAAAGAAGGTAGTAAGGCAACTCTCTCCAGGGAGTTCCTTACAAGCGTGAAGGCTGATAAGGAAGAAAGCAAGCACATGTTTATTTTAAAAGCAGACATCACCAGACACTCAGAAGCAGGAGTCAGCACTACGTGTTTCACAGAATTCAAAGCTGACTTTATCCACCACAAAAACCAAAGTGAACACCACTGCATCCGTCTAAAAGAAACACTCAGACTGTACATTGCCATTTAATTTTGGTCAACTGTTCACCATGTGAGTTCAGTGAAATCAGTCTAAAACAAAAGGACAGATTTAGCAGGATGCACGCAATGCATTTACTAAGATATGCACATACTGGCAACACTTACCTTACGTAGCTGCTCTATTAGCTCCAGCTCCTCCTCTCGCTGTTTGGAGTTTTGCCTTACCCTGGGGTCTGCAGACTCATTAGCAGGAGACAAGGCACGGGTAGAAGATGAAGTGACAGCTAAAAAAGTAGCACGAAGGAAAGAAAATCACTAAGCACGGTCTGGCTGACTCCTTCACTGCTGTACTACACATGCACACACAAGGTTCCAGAATGGGTACAGTGCATTCCTTTTCACAAATTTGTTTCTTTCATTTCATTATTAATCAAGCTAATGATCTGCTAATCTAAATGAGGCATTCTATAACATATTTTCCTTTCTGTTTAGATTCTGTTCTTTCTGTTAGCTAATAACCATTCACAAAAGGAGAACAAAGTTTTGCTAGATAAAGTACGCTGAAGCAGTTCAGTCTTTCTACAGAAATTGTAACTTTGTTATGTGCCATTGTGCAAAGCAAAATTTGTCAAGCGGCCTTCATCAGTGGTTGAAGGCTTTTGTGCCACTTCCTTGGTATCTTTTTAGATGTAAGCACAGACCAGGAAGAACAAAATCCCACATTTCCACAAATATGGCAAAAGAACATTTGACAGCTCTAAATAAAAAATTGCTTATTCACAAAGTATTCAATGCCGTATGTCTACAAATGGAACCCTGAAAGTAGCTTGATGATTAATGACCTGAAGTAACAGAACAGTGCAAAACCTAGATAATGCAGATGTTAATATTACATAGCAAAACTAGCTAATTTCTAAGCTATATAACCTACCTTTGTTTGCTTCATCCCTGACAGCTGCTCGGAAAAGGAAACTCTCAGGTCGCTGGGAAGGGTTTCTATAGGAAGGTGGGGCTGCATGGCCAGGATATGGAGGGGAAAGGTGGACTAAACAAATGTGGAAAGGCACAGGAAAGGAAAGGAGGAAGAAGGAAATGGTTAGAGTTTAAATAGGAAATGGGTTCAGCAATGTGGTAATTAAAAAGAACAAAACAAAAATTTTAAAATAATAATGACAAAATAAATTACAGCCATGCATGATAAAAGTGCAGAGCAGGAAAAGGCACTTCCAAGGATGCTTGCATGCAAAGCACATTCCACATACCAACGCCAACAACTGTTCTGACTGTTGCTGAATGCATCTGTGTGCCAAAGCCTGTATGAAGGCCTACAACAGCCAAACCCTGCGCTCTGCCTGAGGACATGCTTCACCCCTGTTGTCTCTTCCCTCATATGGTTGTAAGGGGACCCAAATAACTGGGTGAATTCTCAAGCACAGCAGTGCCACATACAGAGATGGGAACATATGCTCCCTTCTCTTCGTAGTACAAAAAACCAAGCAGGCATTTTATTCTTATTTTTCGGAAATTTTTCTTCCTTTTCCTGTTACCTGTCTGAGTGGTAGGTGAGCCGGGGGAGATGGCAGATCTGTCATCACTCTGTGGACAAAAAACCAGAAGAGTATAAATGGTCCTAAATCTGGAAAAGCTGTGATCACATTTGAATTTGCTGTGTTTTAAAAAACAGTTCCATCCATCTAAATGTGTTTCAGAAGAAAAACCAGAAATGTGAAAAAACACAGTATATTGTTCCCCAACTCCCTGCAGAAAGTGACAAAGTTTTTTCTTTTGCAGAAATGACACAATTGCTTTTTTTCTGAGGAAAAAGAATGATGAAACAGCACTGACTGTGCAATGACAGATCTTTGTTTACTCGTCCTTACAACCAAAACTTTCAAAGTATTCTTTGCAAAGGGGACACAGAAAAACAAATAATTAAATAACATGCAGAACTGGCATTACAGCAGCACTGGTAAGGATACACCCCTTCGACACCTTTGCTAATGCAAAACTGCTATTTACTGAACATCACTCTCCCCCGTGAAATGCACTGTGGTTTTATTGCAGTGCTTACACAGACTAACGATTTCTTGTGATGAATGCATTCAGTAGAACAGTCTCCCCAGAAGAGAAAGAAACATAGGATATCTGCATTCCAAAGTAAGCTGGTAAAGGATACAAAAAGAGTACTTTTGATGAACTTGGTCAAGAGCACATAATCTTGTACAGAAAAAGCAACATCAAAGACAACCAAGAACCCCTTGGAGCAGACTGGCTACCGTGTTTTTATAGCTTAGGCCTCTTGTAGACACAGCCTAAAGCTAAGATGAGGTAATATCTACTACGGTTTAATCAGGCAAATCGGATTCATACCCTACCTGAACTTCTGATTAGAAGCTGACAGACTAACACCTGTTAAAACAGATGTGTGGATCCAAGAGTTTTTTTGTTGGCTTTACTGGTGAATGATAATAGCAAGAGATACCTTGACAGGACTGAACGTAGAGGCATTAGGCAGGGTAGTAGCACAGCTTTCTTGATTCAACCCTGAGAGTGACTGAATGTAGAAAGAAAGAGAAGGCAGTAGCAGTGTTAGCAAACGTCTGATGGGTCATGCACAAAGATGGAATGCAGTACACAAGTTAAAAAGGAAGAGGTGATCATGATCACATTCTCAGGAACACTCAACAGGCAACGGATAGGTACTTGCTGAACTACAGTTAAAGCCTTCTTACTCTCCTGAACTGCCTGGCTAATAAGCTTGGGAGGTGCGATGTTTCTTTTACACACAACACAGTGACATCAAAAGCAGAACTAAGAACAATAAGGTAAAAGCTTCTTCAGTAACACCTACTGTAACACCTATGCCACCAGACAAAAGGAAATTTTACCCTACAACAGTTCATTCTGAGCCACTATTCAAAATAAATACTTTCTTTTTAATGTTTCAAGTATGTTATGCATTTTTAGTAAGTTATTTTCCTATCAACTTTGTAAAATCAGAGAAACCCACATCTAACAGGCTGAAGAATACACACTTTGTGTCTGCCACAAATACCTAATGCTGATCTTTGCGAATTACACTCAAAGTAAGAAAGGTTCTGTGGTGGAATCTGGCTCTTTGGGAAGATGTCAGTGTGAAAATTTACAGTGTTGTCACAAATAAAGTGCAGCCAAATTTTAACTGTAACCAATATCAAAACCAACCAAACAAACAACTTTTAATGTTTACAGAACAGGAGCTCCAGCGTGCCAGTCTGTCACTGACAGGTGGATCTAGAAGGCCAAATTCCATGTCTTACTGAAAGCACAATCAAAACGTTAACATTTGAGGACTGAATGGCTCAAGTATGAAACTATACTTTCTGAAACAGCATTCAAATAGCAGAGTGGCAGTTCAGCACAGGAAAAGAACAGCAGATGACACCTAGAAACTCTACAGATGTGAACAACACACTCAGGAGTGTTAGTATTTAAAACTATTTGCAACTGTGCTGCCACTTCAGAACAATACAGCCAGAAGGAGTAGAAGGAGAGGTTATACTCAGGGCAAGCTTTAAATACAAACATCTTTAGGCCCTATGCAGACTCAACAGCTCATGACAGTCTCTTTCTCCACAGCAGTGCAGAGCAAAAATCATGGGTTTCTTTTTTTTGTTTGAAGAGTTTCAAAATATCACTTGATTAAGCAAAACATTAGCTAGTATATGAGAACAGTAAAATAAAACAGAAGTAGGTGGTCTGTCACATTAACACAACTGTTTATTCCGGTATGAAAAGAGCAAGACAACCCTCACGGAGACTAACAAGTCGTCGTCACAATCCACATACCCAGCAGTGGGTGAAGGGAAGGGGAACATGGCACACCACATGGTAGGACAATCACAACAGCAACACACTGCATGCTCTTCACCTGTTTGCGAGTCCCTGGCCTTCTTTTAATGGTATTGGTGTTACTGTCAATCTCAAACACAAAGAGAGGCTCAAAGCCATTCTGTCAGGGACAGCAAGGAAAGAAAGAGAGGGAAGAAAGGAAGAAGTGAGGCAAAGAACAACTGTAAGAAAAGGTAGCCACAATACAAAAGGAACCAGGATGCTGCAATTCAGACTTACAACACCCTACTGCACATGCTGCACTTGGCCTCTAGGTCTAGCGCTGAAAACAGAGAAATCTCCCTGTGCCAGAAACAACTGTAGATACAGGGACTGCCAAAGCAGAGCCCGACCAGAACTCTGCACAAACCAAATAAGGATATTTTAAGGGAATTTGATTATTAAATGTTTGAATACACAAATGGATGCCAACGGTCTAAGAGAAAACTCCAGGGTACAAGTCAGCATAATTCAAGTCCTGCTTACTTTACCCATACCATTATTATTTGTAACACAGTGGTGCCTAAAAGCCTTAACTTAAAATGTTTCAGAGATCCTATTTGCTAACAGTAACATGATGGCCTCAGGCCACGTTTCTGACCACGACAAAAAAACACAACGTAATGAAGGGAGCACAAGGCAGCAATGACACAAAGGTTATGAAAGGAAGAGGTCACACCAGCTGCCTGATGCTTATCAAGTATCTCACATGCTTTACAGCAGAGAAATTGAGCAGCAGTTCGAGAGGATGTTTTGGGTTTTCCTTTTCCTTCCACAGTACTCACCTTGTAAGGGACAGTATGAGAGAAAACAAGAAGACATTTGGGGAAAAATGAGATTCATAAGCAACCGAGGCTGAAATCATTAGCCAAGTCTGAAGCCTTGATACTATCTCAACAAGTCATCTCAATTGTAACGAATGGGACTACCTTGTGAGAAGAGCAAGCAGGATATGACAACAGAAAACTTTGAGGTATACAGCACATTTTCTCAGAAAGGCCAGTGATTACATTTCTTCAGCAACATTTTAGCTAGTGTGGCTACCAGAAGTCAACACAAAGAAATCTACCACAGTGTGCAATGAAGTACTACAGCCAAACTCCACTTCACTTCAAATCACAGCTATGTAGAAGAAATGTACAACTAAACTGAACTATTAACATTCCCAGAAAGTATGGGTAGTCATTTTGTGAGTTCAAACAGAGTGTCCTGAAATTGTTAACAAACAGAAGGAAACAGTCAGAGTAACCTGTGCAACATGAATACATTTCGATTTTAATTAGTGATAGAAGACAACAAGGAGAAGACCAAAAGAAACATGATGATTTAAAATGGAGATTCACAACTTAAATTTTGGTTTTGAGAAAATTTTTGTTAAAGCAGTAACACCACCAGAAGAGGGAAGTAGTAAAATAAAAGAAAGCTCACTTGCTTTCTAACTACATTTTGGACTTAACTACTTTTTTAATCTTTTCCTTACATCTGAGCTGAAAACATTGTTTGGAGCAAAAGAAAAGCAACTGCTGAGTTTAGAGACCTCTGATGTAACGAGGGAAATGCTGAACAAAAGATCTTTTACTATACCTCTATGTAATATTCTCCTCTTTAGCCACAAAGCATTATTCCCATACCATAAAGCTAGAACAAGCAGTGGAAAATCTAGCAGAACTTTTTTTTAAAAAAAATTTAATTTTTTTTTTTTAAACTAACCTATCTGCAAGCTTCAAGGTCCAAAATTTTTATACAGTGTGGACACTACTGCATGCAATCTTTATGCAGAGAAAAAGACAGAGAGGAAACTATGTAAATGGAAAATGTGTACTGAAAACTGCCATTAGCAAATAGAATTTTGGTATGAAATGACTCTCTACTATGGTGGAGGGAAAAAAAAAATCCTCAGAAATGAGACCTAGCTAAATTTCAAATCCATAAGGACAGGCAAAATGTCAAATTAAATGCAATACAATATAAAAAGATAAAAGTAATTTCAACTCTTATGACAGCCTTTTTTTTTTTTTTTTAAAAGCAAAATAATAAATATTTCCTTGCTGCTGAACAAGTTTTTACCATACAAGACACATTTGTGGAAACAAAAATGCTACAAATTCATGAGCTAGCCTGGGCTTAATGTTCCAGTTACAATAATTACCAAAAACAGCTGCCCTGACATATGTCATCTTTAGGCACAGTGTGTATTTCCACTACAAAATAGAGCTGCAGATCATACTTCAGCAGCTCAGAAAACCCAGTATTTCATATACTATTATAGTTTAGTGCTGCTGAAAAGAGCAAGGAATCAAAAGAAAAATGAATAGAGAAATGATTGCTTTCAAATCTAGTTTGAAGTGCAAGGATGTAACTTGAGAACAAACAGTGATGGAAGCCAGTTTCAAAATAATCTCTGGAAACTCCAAGTCGTGTAATGTAAAATTCTATATATTAATTACAACAAAAGTCATGGGATCACACAATCAAATAGAAATGGGGTCCTTAAAGGTATCTTTAAAATACATTCCAAAGATGAACTCATTGACAACCAAATATCAACACTGAACCCAAACCACTGCTATTCTGTTTCTTATTATCTAAATATGAAAGCAGATTTTTATATGCTAATTGATTGTGATTTCTCTAAACAGGCACATGCATGATCACAACTACATCTCTCTCTTATGAGATCTATTATGAGCTTTCTTTTTCTCCCACACAGTGCTAGTCACATGAAAGCAGGAAAACCAAAAAGTCTGAATAAAGAGACAGTAAATATCTTGACCAACATGTTCTGGAGAGAGACATTCTGACTGACAGCACTGCCTAAAGAAAATTTAGGCAGATCATGGAAGCACGTGAATTAAGAAAATAAATCCCAGGCATGCAGTCATGCAACAGCAGGCAAATTGGGTGTATTTTTCTTTTATAGACATGGATTATGGCATTAATTATATTCTTTAATTATGCTACATCGCTAAAATGCCATAAAGGAAGAAATAGCATAAAACATGAAGTAAGTACATAAATGGTTTTATTTTTTGCTAAGTGTTCAAAATATATTATTTTTAAGACCTCTTCATTGATAAACAATAAAAAGCTATGAGGCGTATTTCATGGTTTGTAGCATTCAAATGTAGATCAGTTTTTCCCTGTGCTATCATATGGTTACCAAGACACCGAGTATTTCTAACCACAACGTGCAGGATGCAAACAAAGCAGAAGGCTGTACTCGAAGCATTAAAATTGCTTACTCGACACTGAAGAGCACATCAGTTGGGAAGCAAGTTAAATGGAGAAGGAATCAAACCAGAACAACTAGAGGTGAATTTTGAATTTTAGAAGCTATTCTTTGCTATCAGTAAGTTTCTCCTGCTCTCAGCAAAAGATAAGCTTTAATTATTTTGTGGAAAAACAACCACTATATATTAACAAATGGCTGACAGTACAGGTCCCAACATATTCATACTATTAAAGTTCATGGCTAAGCCACTTTTCAAAGATGCTCATGTTTTATGCTATTTAGATTAGCTTTAAAATAGTTGGTCTAATCTGAGACAATCATAATGTTGTTATTTCTATGGTCTAGAATCTGCCACATTAAAAGGCCGTTACGTGCAGGATCTTACCACTAACAAGGCACTATCATCAGTATGCTGAGACCTTCTGGATGGAAAGGGACACTGGGAGGTGGGAGAGATGGAGTAATGTCAGAAACACACAGAATGTCAGAAACACACGGTATGTGAACAGACAGAAATCTTGGAACATGTACTACTTGTTTATAGCATTGTGAGGCTTTTTAAAAAAAAAATAAATCCATAAAGTATATGTAACTGTCGGAATATATAGCCACATGACCCATGACCCATGAATTACAGTGTATTCCTATTACTTAAGGAATCAATTATTCTGCTTTCTGTGTTGTCTCAAGTAAATACATAGAGCTATGCATTCACAGTTCTTGCTGTGGTAGAACAAAGGACCCTTAAAAAGAATAAATTAAGAACAGAAGAACATTAAGAAGGAAAAGGAGCAAAACCTATTTCAATTACCCTCTGGTTTTGGTAATTTTCTAACAAAAAAAGAGTTAGTTGGAAAACGCTGCTAAAGAACTATTTATATTCATTATATTATTAAAAGTTTTGATCTGATTAACATTGCCAAGTGATTTATCTTCCCCTGGAGGAAAGCGGGGGTGGCAAGCAGTGGAAGAGCTATTACTATGCAGAAATCTGATGCAGAGAGCGAACAGATGTCATTGGCTCAGCTCTGTATATTCCAGGAGACTGAGCCTTGTATGATGTGTTCTCTAGTGACTTACTGGTTTTGATTATAAAACTACACTAGTATAAAACTTGTTAAATTTTCTTTAATTTATTTTTTCTGATAGCCCTTAAAATTCTAATGCTTAATCTTTCTAGGATAATTGGTGATCTAATGATAGGAAACTGGGAGAAAACTGACCAACAAAGGATGACTGCCAACACAATAACTTGTCTGAATACTCCCATTAGAAAGTAAACTGTACTGATTGCAAGGAGCATCTTAATGGAATATGAAATGTATTTTCTGTATACAACATAGAAAACATACAAGAAACAATAAAACAACACACTCTGATGGGCAACCAACATTAACAGAAGGAAATATTAGACTGGTCCCTTAAGCAAAAAAAAAACCCAACCAACCCAAGGTTTAATAGAAGTGTGAAAAAACTATGCTATAACCCAGTCCTCAAGAGTTCTCCATTACCAGAAAAATATCTCTGATGGAGAGAGCTAAGAATTCAGGTGCTGACATCCCTTGTAATACTCTTACTGTACTCTTACCTCACTATCCAGAGGACTTTGCTTCTGAGGACTTAAGGATGCTTTTTGCTATTGAAAAAAAGGAAAATTGAAAGACCAATTTAAAAGAATGTGACAGAGAAACAAAAGCTCAGAAAACAGCATAACTTGGAAGTGTTTTAAAACACAAGAAGTCTTCGTTTATAAATAAATCATGCATTGGGGAAGCTTCAAGTTTCCACTGGGCTAAAACTTCACTGATATTACTAGTAAAAAACCAGCCTTTATTCCACATGAAAACAAAAAACCCAAATTGTTTTTGCATTTAAAGATTCATAATAAACCCAAAATATAACCCAAGGGAGGAATTTAATTGCTGAGAATAAAGTGTTCATGAATAGCAAAGGCAACAGAAGAAAAACAAAAACAAAAACCCCAAAAGGCTCATCAATTAACAAAATGCATGCTAAATATCTAAAGTCTTTAACTGGAAGACTGAGCTGAATCTTTAATAAAAGCAGCTTTTCTACAAAACATTGCCAGGGGCCTGAGATTAGTTGGTGCTAACGAAAAGCCTAGTTTCAGATGGCTAAAACCCTTTTTCTAAACTAACTTTATACCTTATATAAACACAATATAATATTCTTTTCCTCTCTGCAGACCACCCTAAGCCCAAAATATTAACTGTAACATTAAATTTGTGATGACAAGACTTGGGTACATCACCAGAGCAGTAAACAGTAAAATAAATTTAAGACAACTAGCAAATAAACAAGTTTGCATATTAAGCAGCAGACTACTTCATATTGACTGCAGTGTAAGAGAAAGCAAAGATGCAGTGTCTACAGAGTATCTCCTGTACCATAAATTTGCACCCGTGCTTTACCTGGAGGCAACTTACTTATGCATCATAAAATACCAAAATAGATCAGGCAACATTATCTTCTTATGTGTATGACCGATTTCTTCTCTGCCAAATTTGTCTTTAAAATTAATTTGCTTCTATGCCTTCTCAAATAAAGATCCCTTCTTTCTTATACCAATCCTGTCACATCTATGCAAATGAAAAATTCAGAGAACGAGAAGGGCTATATAAAACCACAATTCTTTACAACAATCATATTTTGGGTAAATCTCGTCTGTCTTCCTCCCCAGTTCCAGTTTTCTCTATGGTAAGCTACAGCACCAACACTGAATGCAATTAAATGCCATATCTCGTGGCGTGCCATGCATGCCCACGAGTGCAAGGTACAAGTATTAATGATCTTGGCAATTAATTTTCATTAAGGGATTCAGAAAAGATAAAGTATCAAGTAGGTGCTAAAAGCATGTACCTTAACAAAGTCAAGGACAGCTTCTCTCTGGATCTGTTTTGTTCTCATCCTCTCCTCCTCATACTGAAGTGCTGCTAACTGGGCCTCCCGACGGGTACGCTCTATGTGCCTGCGGTGCAGCTCGGGATCTGTATGGGGCACCTGGAACAAAACAGTTCAGCGGGCTGTAAAGGCAGAGCTACTGTAAAACAGATGGGTTATGAACAAACAGTCCATATCTTATGGCTAACCTAAGTTTGGTTTTGCATCAAACTCATCCAGAAGAACAAAATAAGTAGAGTTCAATACCTGACTGTGATGACTTGATAGAAAGTAAGGTGAATCAGCCGGGGGTCTGACAAATGGAAAAACAGAGAGTAAGTAGACTTTTTATCTTAAACAAATTTTCATACATGAGTTGTCAGTGACACACAAGTATCTCATCAAGTCAGAAGAGTAACTGCTTAGTAAACAAAGCTGTTAAACTAACTGCTGGATAAAGACTTAACTCACTGCACATGAAGGATTTTGTGCAGTCATTTCTATCGCTTCTCCTGAATTGTGATAAAATTTTTCTGCAGCTCAGGATGTACCACTGGGATTGTACATTTGGCCTATTACACTGAGGTACCTAGTACTTGATATGCATAAGTAACCAATCCAAGAACTTTTCAGATGATCCTCATTTAGTGGAGCAACTGGCTACTATGGTTATTTAGGGAGGGGAAAAATAAAACAAAAAAATTCATCAGTAGAAACTGTATGTTTCTTCTCCCTACCTCTCTGTCCTGTCCACATAACTCCTTAGTACTTGGTGACGCTCTCTGTCCTGCATCAAATTTAGAGTTTCAGGTCTTCGTAATTCATCAGTATCCCTGCGGGTAAACACCAGGTGGAAGGGGGATTGGCCACTGATGCATATAAACTACTGTCATATGAATTCTTCTCTAGATTACAGCTGTTTTTATAAGAGCAATTGCCTAGACAATTAGCTTCAGATAACCACAAAGGTTAAATTTAGGATGAATAAAGAAATCCTGTTGTGATACCAAGTCAGATCACAACTACTGCAGTTCATAATCAAATAAATGGAACTTGCTTAACAATGATTTCAAAATACATAAAGATGGAATCTCTCTCTTACAACTATGTTCTGGTTATTGTGACCCTTATTCTGCTCTGGAAAGAACAACATTATTTTTAAACATTAGCATCCTCTGACATTTTCCGAACAAATCTGCTCACTTCACCAATCAAGTGATGACTTTCTAACTATCGAAGTCACAAATAACCGATCTCTTATCCATCATATCAACAATAAAAGCGAAATTTTGCAGTCAGTTCTTTGCTAGAAGGCAGCTGCTAGCACTGAAACTATTCCCAAGGTATGGGAGTAGCTTATTCTCAACAGCCTAGACTCTGCAACCTTCACTCCTGCAGCAACTATGGAAGAGAGACACACTTCCCGATGCATTTCCAAAAAACGTCAGTCATGCTGTCTGTGTGTAGACTTATTACCCGTTCTGCGTGGAGAAGCTTAAGAGACATGGAAGACCCATACGCTACAGGTCTCCTCTGCTGGTTAAATTCGCACCAATGCACATGACAAATCCATGACTGTGCTGTTTTGAACAGACAGGACTGGGTTCAACTGAGTGCCAGGGAGTGTATTCAAACCAGAGTACACACAGCTCTGTTGCATCAGGAATGCACCACAGTCTGTCCAGAGGCACAAACTGTATTTACTGAATTGAATCAACTAATGTAAGTACTCTTGAGATGAAGTCTGCATTACATCCAACTCTGAGAGTTTTAATGGCTCCGGCATGCTGAAGAAAAATAACAGAGGCTGCCTGCCAAGGCATCTGCACAGAATTACTGTGGAAGCAGTTTACAGCTTGTGGTTGCCACAAATGAAATATTTCACTAATACAAGCTTAAAATCTAAAAAATTACTCATTGTCATATGGCTGTTTTTCCACAATTCTGAAGGCAACAACAATATGACCTGGTTTTAGTGCCTCATTAAGAATTTCACTCTGCTGCAGCACACTATGAATAAGCTACAATTCATTTAGATCACTGATTAACTACTTCCACATGAAGATCCACTGCCATCCTTAAGTTAAATTTTGAAAACATTGGATGCCCTAGTGAACTACAATTGCCTTTATCATTAAAATCTGTCTATGCAAACAGCAGCTCTCTCCTGGCTAAACAGCCTTCTCTTGTTTTACTTCTTTCAGATGTGTCATGGAATCCAGTGTTTGTAAAGTCTATTTCCATGTTGACCACAAATGCTCAAATAGAAAAATAAACAAACAAACACACACACACACACCCCCCCCATCTTTCAAACCAAGAGCACTCACTTTATTTGGGGAGAACACATCAGACTGCTGTACTATTTTATGCCTTACCTGTAGACACTACAGGATAAAGAATGCTGATATATGCTGAAGGAGTGACCCTCCTTTGCATTAGTATAGCTACTGTATCTGCACATTTATTGCATATTTCAAAATGCTTATTAAAATGTTGCCATAACTCTGGGAAAAATCACACACTTTTCTTGAACTCATTTTCTCTTTCAGTGCCATTTTAGAATGCCATTAAAAATTAATTTCAATTGACAGCATAAGTAATGACATAGTTATGGCTAGCAGTTGTCTATTTTTAACATTCCTAGTACAATTGAGCTGGTTTTCTGCTGAGTCCTTGCACATTCACTTTCACTCCGCAGAATACTGAAATGCTTCAATGGCATATTAAAGGTGCTATCATTTTTTATTTTATCTCCATGAGCAAGAAGCTATACATTTGCTTACCTTCTGGTTTTTTAACTAAACACCCAAAAGTCTGTTTTCAAACCTAGCCACTTCATTTATATTCTGTCCCACTCTCACCCATATTTCATGGATAAGCATTCCCTCCAATAGGCCAAGCAATCACTAAAGAGTATGGACATCATTCAAAAAGTCTAATTCAATCAACTAAGGGACCTGTTTTCACCATTGACTCCTGTTCTATCCCTTCTTCCTCTTATGTAAGCTCATGATTATGGCACAGAAAAGCATATTTTAAATTAAACTAAACCCCCACAGTACTACAGGTGCCAAGAGTCCACCAAGAACATGACCTCACAGCACATCAGATACTCCACAGTAACTCTCTTTATGCTTCCCCTAAACCTGTGGTACGTTTATCCCTTCTGTCCTTTATGTAATATAGCTTATGTCAACTATTTAATCAAAGCACAAATGAAATCATGAAAAGCAGATATTAAATCAGTCTAAAAGTAGACACTTTAATTTGGCAGATTTCTTTAATCAACTGGTTAAAAGCCGAGCCTTTTGGTCACTGCCGTTATTAGAATGCAAATTCCTAATCTGGAGCAATAATGTTTAAATAAAGCGCCATGCACGTTTCTGGTGAAGCAATAGAAAACAATGCCATTTTCTAAACACAGTCAGTAAATATATGCTCTGCATTCATCATGGAACTTTGGATAAAATTACTGTTACCACATATTCATACCTGTTTTGATGTAAATATCGTCTTGTATCCTCCGTTCTCTGAAATTCTCTCACGGACACAGACTTTACTGGTGAGCCCTAAGCAAAATAACACAGAAGACTGTTAGCAACTTGTTCAGAATACTGTATGTTAATGTCAAAGAATCTCTTTGTAGCGCAACATTTGTAACTACTGGTGTTCAAAATACCTGACAAAGAACCACAAAATACAACTCAGGGATGTTAATTTCCAACTAGGCAAGCTTACTTTTATTTTTTCCTGTGATTTAAAGAAACTTTAGTTTCAAGATTAAATATGCCTATTGATAAATTTAGGAGTTTAAAAGCCGCCTCTATTAAGAAACATGGAGATAAGTAAATGTAGGTATAAATTGATTAATGTCATGTAGAAGAAATGTAGAGTTAAGCTCTGAAGAATGGATATACATTCAGTAATGCAGTCTGGACTCTCAGAAATACAGGATACAATAGCTGATGCTCTCTTATGATGCCCTAAAAACAGGTCACAGAGGGACTAAGAAAGCAAAACAACGGATGAATGAGAACACCTTAGGCTTAATTTGAGCTATGAAATAATTTATCCCATTGGGAACAGAGACATATTGCCCTTGATGTTATTTTAAAACTTTTACTGTTAGTAATGGTACTGTTATGGATGGAAGCTTTTCAAGGTTAACTTGCCAATTTTCACTCATGCCTGTACGTATGTTGCTATATTCCATACAGTTAGACTTTTGAAGTAGTAAAGTATTTTGGATTGCCTTTTTAGAGAAACTACTGCTTCAGTTAAAAGCAAGCAGTTCAATTTTTATGAATAGATAGATCCCTGTGAATAGCTTTTTTGATGTTGATCGATGCCTTTTCACTATGTACAGCAAAGAGTCCTTGGGTTGTATTGCCAATAGTTGCCTTTTCTGAGTTTTGCTCTTCTATCTATGCTTCAAGTGGCTCTAGCTTTTGTGATTTGATATTGAATTTATAAGATTTGCAAAATGAATACACCTCTCAGATATCTGTCACTGATTTTAAATGCAGCAAACAGTATATAAAGTGGACAAAATAGGGACCAGGCTCTTACATGAATACTAAAGATCCACATTTTTTTCTTTCTTCAAAGAGCAAGTATCTCTGTGCTTCAAAACACACAAAACTTTGAAAGAACACATTTGAATCGCAGCACAATAGGTACCATTTAATCATATCAACCACAAAGATTTTCTCAGACAGGTTATTCATGTAGTATGTACAGTGAGCCACTAGACTATATAGCTGTGTACACAGGTATAAATTAAGTGTGATAGAACACAGAAGGAAACGTGGCTGAAAATCTGTTTCTATAGGTTTGATTTCTGAGGTCACTTTACAAAAGTGTACCATCCAAATGACTTAACATGGAACAGTTTCCTCCATGTGTTCACAGCAGTGACTGCTACAACTGGAACAAAGGCATCTTCCCAGTTTTGGCAATTCATACAATTTCTCCAGTTGCACACTAATCCTTGTGCAGCTAGAAGGCAATGAAATTACATGACCTAAAGAAAAGCAACGGTAACTTCACTGGAACCATTGCCCTTGTTTGCGCCAGGACATCATTTGGATACAGCAAGCAACCAATTAAAGCAGCTGTTATTAACATAGTATATTGTGGATGCTGTCAAAAAATATGAGAAAACAAACTTCATCCATATGTTGCAGGGAAATGGGTGCACGCATCCTGACTCTCAGGAATTACACTGCAGTTATTGAGATTTCTAAAATGCAGCATTCCAGTGCAAGTATTACATACCACCTCAAACAGAAAGATACTCAAGAACAAAAAAGAAAGAGATGCTGTTTAGACTTGTTGGGAAAAAAGAACAGAGAGGCTAGTTTGCCCCCCTGTTTTCCCCCCTTTTTTCTGTGAGAGGAGAAAACAGAGACATGTCCAGAGCTACTCACATCTGTTTCTAGTCATTTGTAAAAAGCTGTCTGGAGAACTTTCTAACCTCTCTAGTAATAATTTTACTTATTGTTCATTTATTGTTCATACTTTTACTGACTGAGAACAGTTCCATGTCAGGTTTACTTGAAAATACAGATGATGCTTTTGTTCAGAAAGGTGACTAAATACACAACCAAGTCTGTACCTGTGGGTTCAAGCCTTGCTCAACAGTAAGAGAGAAAGAAATTGTTTGCTGCAAATAGTAGGCTTTTGGAAAAGTCTGAATATTTATGTTAGTCTAAACTTAAAATGGATGCTCAAGACAGTGAGTTTCCTGGCAAATAACATATAATCAACGAGAACAACTAAATTAATGGATTTGCAAAATTCTTGTACCAAATCTTTATGCTGATAACGATCAACATTTTTCCCTTGGGAAAGCTGGTATATATTCAGTACTATCAAGTAAAGGTTAACAATTTTTTAGATATCACCAATTACCAGCTGGAAGCATCAACTTCAGTATATTCTGAAGAGAGGACTCCTTTGAAAAAAACATTTACTTCATATATGCCTAAAGCACAAGCTTGCAAGAACCCACATGACAGGATAACAGTGTGGCTGCCTTAGCCTTATTCCACATATCCCAGAGGGCACTGGGGAGCAGTTTAGCACTGCAGCTCTGACCCTCCTCAAAGCACAACACACTGCTCTTCCCCCAGATCAGACAATTCTTTTTTTTTTTTTTTTTTAAAAACAAAGAAAACGTCTGAGGACAAGAAGCATTAACACCATCAAAAAGGCTTTCCTGGGGCATATGAATTTATCTAATTTAAGTAAAAGCACCACCTCATTAGAGATTCGCCGCTGGTCAATATATGCCATGAATTGTGAGCTGAGGCTGGCTGACTCCATGCACTTGGGTTGCCTCACCTCTTCCTCCTCCTCTTCCGTAGCACAGCTATCAATATAGTCGATCTGATCGAGATCATGTTCCACTTGACACACATACACAAAGAAAACACCCATAATTAGATAACCAACAGAGAGGAAAAAACCAACACAAAAGCAATGTCAGGAACTAAGGCCCTACTGTTTTTCTTCTGCCTGGGAAAGCTCAGCCTCAAAGCTCTTGAATTTTGCCAGGCCCACTAACATTTGTAAACATCAGATTTTGAAATAATGGTAAAAATAATGGGTTTTAAAAAGCAATGAGAAACATGTATCAAGCACATAGTTTTAAATTGCTGGCTGCAGATACTTTTGCAGTGACTGAAAAAGGAAAGTAAATACTGTGATTTTTTTTCAATACTGAAATCTATCTATCAAAATCTATTGACTAACACCAAGACTGTACAATGATTTGTGTACATTTTCAATCATTTCTCTTGGTTCTAACCTATCTCTGTCAGAAAAATTAGAATGGATATGGCAGATTCTTCTACTATTTCTACTGTTACAACAACAAAACAGAGTCCAAGTTATCTGGATGCAAATGCAATAAATGTAAAAAGCTTATGTGGAAATAATGGACAGTATACAAAGCAACAAAACCCCTCTAAAACATTATAAAAGCACCCGCAGTTTTATTTTAAAAAGAGGAATGAAAAAAGAAATTAGGAACCACTGAAATGAGAGCAAGAAACAGCACACTTTGGCTAGTATTGATTTTCCTTTGTGTGGGCAATATTATGTAGGGCAATTTGTCACTTGTCACTGCTTTTACACGTTCTGCTCAGGATTCTAAGAGTCATGACATCGAGCAAACTACCCTGGTGAAAAATACTGTGCCGGGGATAGAGGGGAAAGCATAAGCTCCCTTTCTGGGCACTGGAGCTTTCTTTTTCTTAAAACTCTCTCCAAACTTGCTCCAGCGTCTCTTCCAAACATTCTTTTTCTACTCCACCGCCTCTTTCCTGCTTGTCTAAAACAGACTTCTCTTTGCCTCACCACACAATCTAGCAACTGTTACTGCCAAAGCCACCTCCTCTGCTACTACAACCATGCAAAACAGCGTTCCTATATACTTTGGCTTCATTAAATTTCCATCTCAGTTTTAAATCTTAAAAAAACCCCAATGAAACAAACCAAAACAAAAACCCCCTTCTTTCCAGCCTTGCTTATTAAACTTTAATAATAATAATAGTACAGTAGAGGGTGAAAGACATTAATATCTGTGTTAGGAACACAAAATTGGAAAGAATCTCCTGGATCGCTGACAGCCACATGCTATGGCTTGTGCCCCTCTCAGCTACTCCTACTCATGAACTGACCCTGCTCCATCTTGTAAGACTAGAGAGGCATTTTGAAATCCCTGGTGTATAAAACCCAAAGAACAAAATAAAGTCAGTCTTAGAGGCGGAGCTGGCAGCATTACCTGTGATTAAGGCTGCCCACAGCTTCCCATAACACCACGTCTTCAATTCTTCTAACTTTGCCAGAATTTAACTGTTTGAACTCAATTTTTTGTCCATTAACATGTACAAGAGTGTGAGTCAACCAAAAAGTTTCAGATATTTCTAGAAGGTGGCAAAGAAAACAAAATACTGTGGCAGAGAAGATTAAGACCAAGAAAAGAAGACAGCAAAAGAGGGGGATGAGGAGGGAAGAAGGAAGAAAAAGTGGGAGTTGGGCAGGGAAGATTATAACTAGCTGGGGTAAGAGTGAGACTCGGGGACTGCAAACTGGAGCTGTTAGGGGAAATGGAAAACAAGGAGCAGTTGAGAAAGAAGAAAAATTAATCAAAGTATATGGGGATGAGATCTAATAATCAGTAGGGAAAAAAAATGGAGAAGAGGGAATAACTGAAAAAAACAAACCTGGACGAATGCTAAAATTGGGACATATAAACAAGAAGAGGACTGGACTGTAAGACAGTGGTAGCAGCAGGTTATTGGAAGTTAAAATTGAGAGGGACTGTAGTTACCAAGAAACATGGGAAGCGCTATCACCTCTTGAACAATACGAGGGTGCTACTGTAAGACTGCAGGACAACACATAGATAGGGTGCAAAAAAGCAACGTCACTCACAAATACTTATTCCTCTCCTAGATGGCCTACATGTTCGGATTAAAACCCAAGACTGCTGAATGAGGCACTTTTGCTATTTGGAAATATGAAATTCCCTGATAAAACTGTTCATCTCGTTCCAACAGCAGTCGGCAAGAACACTGACAATTTACTACTGGTGCTCAAGCAGCAAAACTCCATGCACCGAAATTCAAGATTCCAAAATACTGGAGACTTTAACATAGCACACATGCAGAAGCTGACGTTTCCCAGATAATCCTAATTCTGATGCCATTTGATTTTGCCACTGTTTACACAACTGTGTTTTTGTGTAATCCCACTTAGACCTTTCTCCTTTTCCTCTTTAGACAACCTACTATTTACAGCAAATATTCTGGAACTTCAATAATGATAATAAATACTGTTAGCCAAAGATCACTATTTACCTCCACCATTAGTTACGACAGTGCTCCCTCGGTTTTCTTGATACTGGCTTTCTCTTCGCAGTCTCTGTTCTTTAGTGATCTCTGCCACACGTAAAGGGAGATCTGAGAACTCATCTGTTGGCTTTGGAAAACAAACAGTGAAGTCAAGAAACACTTTTCTTCGGAACCATCATCCTGTAAGCTGCTACCTCTTGATTCGTGTTTTAACTTCAACTGTCCGGTTTGCACCTACAAAACACTAACTTAAAAGCAAAATACAGCTATAGAGTATTGCTTTTAAAAACCATACAGTTAAGCTTTCTTTAAAAAAAAATAGTTTGCCTACAGTTTTGTTTGCAATATCTGCAAGCGCTTGAAAACATCCCAGGATGGAAACTCCTAGAACCCTCTAGGAATGTAAGCAGACATACGGAGTGTAGCTCACTGAAACGTTTAAGACTTGGCTACTGCCTTTCTAGTTGCCACAAGAGAAAAAGGGAGTTTCTTCCTCGGAATAATAATTTACAGTCTCTTTTCTGAGAGATCCCATTTTCCTCCTCCTAAATGACAAACAGATTTTGTTTTTAACATATGAAACAAGCTGCAAAGAAAGATGATGAAATTTCCATCTCATTTTTGAAGCTTAATTTTCATGTTCGGATTTATTTTATCGAAACAACTACTCACAAGTAATTATAGTTGACTTGACATTGTAATATGATAGGTATAATCTTTTTTTTTTTTTTTTTTTTTTACAATAAGGAACCCCCTTTTTTCTCACCTTTTATGCTCCAGTAAATTAATCTGTGATGCACTGTTTTATACATTTCTCTTATTATTTCCAAATTTGTGTTCATCCCATATAAAATTATGCTTGTTTTTCTCCAATAAAACAACAAATAATTTTGGCTCAAGGCAACCTGCACACTTGCATATACATGTTACCCATTGAATATGCTTCCAGATGGCTACTTTTTACTTCTCCCTCCTGTACAATACCACACTCAACAAAAATAAAGCTGCAACACTTACTTCATTCCCTGACCATCTTTTGTCTCCGCTGTCCACACTATTGAAGCCAGAATCAAGTGCTCCATATGGCCGGCTGGAATAGAGTTCCTCATGGCTGTCAAACACACAGTTTTAGTTACTGTAACATAAACACCACCAAAACCTTCTCAGCTATTACAGAACAAAAGCAGAACAAGCTACCAAGCACAGTTGCAGCATGTTCCCAAGCTCACCATGTTAGAAAGCATCTTACTGCATTTGCCACATAGGACAAGAGGCACGTGCTTACAACTACAAACATCAGTCAGCTGTCCACCTGCCACTGCCTAGCGTTTTAAGAGATAATCTGATCCAATACTTCAATCCGATCCATACTTCAAATATTTCCCATGCAGATATTATGACAAAGAAAACTACAAAGTGGTCTCTTATTTCACTCTTTACCAAGTCAAGCTTTCATTTTCCACTAGACATATGTTTTGGTTGAAAAACACTGTCCCACAAACTTTTTCATAAGTAAGCATAAACCCATGCAAAATTATTATACAGGTGTATCAGAATATACTTATACACAAAAGTACGCAACATACACAGGTACATAACTATCTTCTGTATCCTAATTCCCTACCTAAGAAACTGAGCAGTAAGCTGGACAGTATTTCAAATACTTCATAATAGAATATAGAAGTACAGTTTTAATCTACAAAGCCTAACTTTGTCAATGACATGTCTAGACTAAGGCAATAGACATGTGCCTAGTGTTACAATACACATAACCAAACAGCCATACAGTTCTCTAGATTTCTGGGCTCAGAAACTACCTAGTTCAGCAGTACAGCCACCACAGATGTCAAGTCTGGCAACTGCTGCAGATAGCTACAGTAAAAGAGACAATGGGACTTGTCTGATCCACTGCAGATGGCATTTCACAATGGCTCAACTGTCCTGCTGGCACTCGATGCCCCAGGGAGAACTGCAGCAGTAATTACTACATAATACACAAGGAAGAATGAATTTCAGAAAGCTAATTGCTTCACCCCATCATAACTAAATTGCAGGTCATTTTCTCACTGGTATACTTTCAAGTTGTTGCTCCCTCTAAACCCCTTCTTTCAGGAAAGACTTATTTCCAAATTACTATTATTATTTATGCAGAACTATGTGCATGCATGGGACTTTGTAGAACAGTGACAGACTACTACCCTGGGCTAAGAGGAGGGATGGAGGGCTACAGAGGAGAAATGTTGGTCTTTACATCTGCATCTATGCAGATCTAGATTCTGCCAACATACACCAAAAGACAAGCTCTTGTTGCTGCACAGAGCTTTGATTAACTCAAAAGAGCTCGACCTTTGTGGCCCCTGTATTTGAACAGGATGATTGCCTGCATAATAAACCCCCAGCAAGAAATAAGGGGAAAGAAAAACCAACTCCCTTCTTTTGGGTGGGGAAGAAAAAAGACAGACCTTGAAATCGCCCAGTGCAGTTAAAGAACCATTAAAGAACTATTAATTTGAATCACTGACAGTAGAACCATACTTATGCTAACAGATCACAGTACTTAAATACTGGATTTAAAACATGTGTCAGAAAAAAAAAGAAATCCATCTGCAGTACAATTCCATTTTAAATGCACCAATATTTTCAGAAACTCCAGAGAACCCTGTTCTAGGTCGAACAATTATTCCAAACTGAAGAGCATCAAAATCACTATTTGGCTACATCTCTGACATAGAGAAGTATTTTGATACAAATTTTCTTCTTTTAGCCTTCCTTTTCAATTATAGCTTTTGAAAAGCCACCCATCTACACTAAGGTTATACAGACGCTCAAAAATTCATGAACACTGTTCCCAGGACTCTTTTCCCCTTTTAACATGAAAGCTGCTTTCTGCCTCCCCAACTCTCACATCTAAACCAACTATTTAACGCTGCATGCTTTACACAATTATAATCAGCAGCCATCCTGAAATCAGTTGAGACTTAAGATTTTTTTACTCCTCCCTGACCAACAAACTACAAGGAAGAACAATTAAGCATTTAGATAGATCAAAGCATCTTGGGGCAACTACAACTCAATGGGAAGCTACATACAGCTCTAAATCAAAGGAAGAGAAGCTAAATGCCTGGTAAGACCAACAGCCGAAGGAAAGACTTGCCAACATTTTGAAGACTAAAACACAGCTCCAAAGCCACAATGAAACACATATTTTTAACTCCTGTAAGAAAGAGTAGTTGCCAAAGTCCCAGAATATCCACTACACTGGTTTATGTGCAAGTACTTCATATTTTAAACCTTCTAACTCCAGACTATACTAGTCTGCCTCAGCGCCAAAGGAATTTCAACACAGCTTCAACAGTTCTGCGTCCTCTCGATCACATTCTCTCCAGCACCAACCTGAGCTGCTCTGAACTTCAGTGTTGCAAATGGCAGCAGATCAAAACTTGCTGCAAGATAAATTTCACATGGCTTATGCTTAGAAAAGGACTGTAATATACAAGATTTCACTTTGGTAAGCCAGTTTGATTTAACGTGACAGCGTAAAATATGTAGTTTAGCTGCACTAGAACCTCCAAACCATACCTTCTGCCATAATGTTCCAGAATATCTTGTTTTATTAGCAGTATTATCAAGTTTGTTATTAGAACAATGTTTAGTCAAGAGTGAACTGACAGCACAACTGAAACTTCTTTAAACTTTAAGAATCTCTACATGCAGTTTCAGATTCTTAACCTCCATGGTATTTCACTTAGCTTATCAGATAAAACAGCAACCAAGTCTAGGTGTATGGACTGACACCTTACTTCTACTGGTCACCTTTGAAGATAACAAACATAAAGCTCTTGTGACATGCCTGGAAATACTAACTATATTATAGTTGAATGCTTTTATTCCTCTCATCCCAGATTCCAGAAGAATATAGTAATTTGGGATCATCTCTTCCACTGGATCATTCTACCATTTCCTCCTAATGTGTACTCTGATCCATGGATGGTTTTTCCATAGGTACATTAAGACAGGAGGAATCACCTGCAGCACTAAATGCCCTAAACAGCACAGTAACAACAAATAATTCTATCACCAACTCTTATCTCCATTTGAGGGTGGAAATACAGCTAAAGGAAAGCCAGCTGAAGCTTATTTCATACGGCTGAATCTGGAAGCAGCTCTAGAGCAAGCATCTTCAGCCAATACCACACTTGTTTTTACATTCATAATTCCAAGCTACAATTAAAATACATTAATTCTTCTCATTTCACAAAAGCAATTAATAAAAACTTCCATAGTAAACAGACAACAATAAATTAGTAAACACATAGCCCACTAATTTTGTTGGAATTTCTCTTAAAAAATGAACAAACTATGCTAAACTGCCATGATCTGTTTATCATTTAGAGCCTTTTCTTTTCAGTAACAGGACAGTATCCCCAGTATTATGCAGAAACCTTCTGCAACAGCTTATATTCTAGGAAACTGAGTAACACTCATAAAATGCTCATATGTTGGCTTCATCTGGAAAAATAATTTAAGGCATTCAGTGCTGATGAGAAATCACTGTCAGTCCCTCACGCAAATTCTTCACAAATTTGACTCATGATGATTTATTGTGAGGCCCTCTGATTTGTGTTTTATTGCTTCTAAGACAGCAGTACATCCTTTAGCAACTTATTCCTCCACACCTTATTACCACCTTCTAAGATGACTGAGGTAATTTTTAAGTTTCATACTTCACTGACTCCCTTTCTTCTACATCATGTAACAGGAATAAATCTTAACTCCTGCTTTCCTCTAGACATCTTAATTTAGCAGCTGATACGGCTGACTGTTCCAATATTTGCGTTACAATGCTAAGCAAGAGCGCCAAATGAAAGCTTGCCAAAAATAACATTTTACTAATGGGGTGGAGATCAGCATTTACACCTGCGGTTTGAGCACAGCAGTTATAAAATTCTGTACAAAAGGTTAAAAATCACAGCAGGGATATACTTCAGTAAGTATGTGGAAAATATTAAGATCTTATAAACTGAACACACATGTTAACAACATGAGAGCACGCCCCCCTGTACTATGAAGATACCAACACTTTTTTCTTACTGTACATCAACTCTAACACTGCCTTTCATACGATATTGCTAAGGTATTCTTCTGAGCTGCTCCTCACTTCTTATATAGTAGTACCTTGTTAGAATACACCATGAGATAACACAAATTATATTCTTCAAAGCCACCTCCATAAATGCACTTACTAAAGAACAGTCCTTGGATGAATTTTTTTTAAAAAGATTGAGGTAACTGACAAAATATTCCTGAATATCAACAAAACTAGGAATTTGGATTGAGCCAAACTTACCAAGATCCAAATCCCATAGGTCTCCTATCATAATCAGGCAAGTCTGGAGCTATCTTGCATGCTTCTATGTTCAAGTATTTAAATATGTGAATTTTTCCTTTTATACATATCTTAAAAAAAAAATAAAATAAAAATTATGTAAGTATAATTTGACAATACATTTTTAAAGGACTCTACAGACATTTAACCTGTGGTTGAGAGTAATAAAAGAGCACGTTTATGTCAACCAATGCATCTTTTCTTTTAATCTCACTGCATTTTAGAGAAACAGCTATAGTGGAGCATCACAGGATGCCTGTGATAGACAAATGGAAGGTGTCCTCCAAGTACATCTGGTCTGCATGCAACTTTGCCAGCTGCATGCTGAAATTTCATCATGCAAACAAGACACAGCATTTACACGTACTAGAATATATACCCTTGGCATCAGAACAGATGCATCCCACCCATGCCCAACTTTGAATGGCAGTGGCAGACTGCCAAAGCAAGCTCAAATTTAAGTGAATGAAGCCAGTAACAGCTGTCTTTGCTTTCAAAAGGGAGGCAAAACCCTACTGAAACTACAGGTCTTAGCAAGTGCCACTCTTGACTCAGAAGCAGCAGCTCACAGTAGAACCTGTAATACTCAAGGGCTTATATACCCACATTAAAAATCTAATTAGTCACTAACCATATTGTAGTTTCTAGCTCAAAGCCCAGTTTGAGCACTCTGCTGCAAAGCAAACCTGCACACAGCAGCACTGAGGCCTCAGTCAAAATTTTGACATTTGAGTGGCACAAAATCAGTCTTGCCTAACAGCTTCCTCTTTCATACCCTGAAAGCATAAACGTTCAGCCAACAGTGCAATTCTTAGTAATATCCCATAGGTGAGAATACAGTAAAGTAAGAGAAGAAAAAGGGATTTTTCAAGTAGTGCTGTATATTTAACACTTTTAGACAATATGATTTATTTAAAGTCCTCTGTTCTTAAATCCTTCAGCTTTTAACTTCATTCTACGCTTTTTAGTTGAACTAGTAATCTGAATTCCTAGCTGCAATTTACCTGTGCAGGAGGTGACTGGAGAGGGTTGTTCTCTAACATGATGGTCTGCAAATGTCTGAGGTTCCTGTAACAGACTGGTATTGTTGTTATTTTATTGCAGGAGAAATCTAATCGAATCAAAGGCAACTCAGCAAGCTCTGGAGAAAGAAAATAAACCACAATTCAGCAGATTTAAAAGCAACAGTATAAAAATATGTGTTTTACAGAATAATTAAGTACACCGCTTCTAGCTCTCAGGGGAAGAAAAAGGCATTGAAAATAATCAAGTGCTTGAAGTTTCTGCTGTTACAACTGACAGTCTTTATCTCACCTTCAGGTAAACGCACCAAATTATTTCTTCTGACATTTAGGTCTCGCAAGGATTCCAAATTGCCAATCTGTGGAGGTATTGTCTGTATTTCATTACAGCTCACATCCTACAAAGCAAGAGTAAAGAATGAGTTAGCAGTTTCGACATGATCACCACTGACTGGAAAGCCTTTGTTAATTACAGTATGTAGCATTTTATTTAGGGACTGAAAGAAAGAAACTACTATTTATATATAAACACCTCAGATCCTTAAATTCATGAAATCTCATTGCTCATGTGAAATATTATTCTCATTTTAAATATATGGCAAAATAAAAGCTTTAAAAGATTAAGCATTCAGATGTAGAAGCTTATTTCAAGTTATCTCAATCAAGTTATTCCATATTATTTGAGATAGTGCAACTTGCTATATAAAAGCTTTTTGCCAGAAACAAGTGTACCAACAGCTCTAATTCCATCCAGCCTTCCTTTCAAATATAGGGAAGAATCTTAGTTAAATGGACATGGTTCATTTGCTCTCCAGTGCAAGGCATCTTCCCCCCACAGAATTTTTTTTTTTTAAATCTCAAGAGTATTTCAAACTCTAACACCTCCATACAAAGACAAAACACTGTTGGAGATACTATGGCAAATAGAAATCTTCCTTAGGCTAAGAGCAGATGTAAGTAACTTGCTAATGCATACAAGTGACTGGTTTACAATCACAAGGTTCTCAGCAGAATGAGAAACAGGATGTGGATCTTGCACATGCCCAGATAACATCCTAATTACTGCATTACTTTGATCAGTTTAAAAAAAATCGTTATTTCTTCTGAAGCGTCTCTGAACCTATTAAACACTTCAATTAAAAATTAAAGACTGAACAGTAATAGTTAAAAAATAACTGTATACTCACAAGCTCTGTCAGCTGTCTGAGCTGTCCAATTTCTTCAGGTATTGAAACCAACTTATTATTACTCGCTATCAAAACCTTTAGTGGCAGACTACAGAGGTGTACCGGCAATGTTGAAAGCTGGTTTCGGCTTTTTGGACAGAAAGAAAACAAACCCATCAGAACGCTATGAGAAATCACCTCACATCTTAATGCGATGAAAGACACATACAAAAAGCACATTCCATTTAGATGATCAGCTCAGTTTTTATATCATTACTGTAAAAGTAGTTCCATGAAGTCTTTCTTCATTACTTGCTTTAGTTATGTGTGAACAAACTCTGAATATCAAGTACCAAGCCTGATCAGATGCTTTCAAACTCAGTGATGGGGAATATGGTATTTTCATGCCCCTTTGGGTGCTTCTGGTAACTGGCCACCTCCTGTCACAAACAACTATGTTTGAACAGAGTGCAAAAACCTTTCTGATAGGTAGTACTGCAGGTCAGCACAGACAAAATGCCACAGAGGAAGTCATTACTTACTCAGTTAGAAATATACTTTAAATATTCAGTAAGTCACATGGATCAAGACCCTTGGTATCATGGATTTCACTATTCCAAAATACAGTTTTGGATGTTTAATAATAAACGAGTATTAAAGTAAATATGAGGTCATATGACTGGACCATAACCTCAGATGAGAATCAGGCAGAATGAGAATGGACTGTAAAAGAGAAAGATTCCCTTTAAAAATAAAACGTAGCAAGGAGCAGTGACTGGATGATTAGAAAGAAAGTTATTAGGATCTTAATAAAGGCTTTGATCAGGTGTTGACAGTTACCAAAATATGCTGCTGTATTGTTTCACGCTTGAAATCCAGATTTCCCTACTATTAAAGCAAAAAAAAATTCTGAGCAGTAGGTGAACCAACAGCAAGTCTTAAAAGGATGATAATTGGACTGCACCTACTAGAGATCATAGCAATAGGAAACCCATACCTGATTCATATCCTATTCCTACAATTCTCACCATCAATAAAAAAAAGAAAATAAAGTGACATAAGCATACTAAATTGGCAAAAGTGTAACACCAGAAGGAAATGGTCTGAAGTTTTTCTTGATGGGTATCACTGCGAATTTGTGATGAGGAACTTTCCACACTTCTTAAAAGATCTACAAATGGAGGATGCTGTACACAGTTCAATTTCATCAACAGGCTAAGTTGCAGCAATTAGCTTTTAATACTTTCAGAGAAGTGTTAATGCTCGAGAAAGATATTTAAAAGCCACCAGTACAGTGAAGTGAAAAGGGAAATTGCTTAAGACTTACTCAGCTGCTGAGAGCTGAATTGTAAAAACTAACCAACTAACTTCTATCCTCTCTTTTCAGTCTGCATGCCTGTATTTCACATGAGAACTTCTGGAGTTTATTTTGTGAGTCCTTTAAGTTGGAATTAGCTTTCCTCTTCATACGCCACTTCTACAATCTGCTGTTTAATCCTCATGTTCCCTGATCCACCTAAGTGGGTAAGACTGGTTCGGGTTCCTTTGATTCAGTGACATACAATGTAACAACGCGATGATTACACACCATGTTAGCATCATTTATGGATGCATCAAAATTTATAAATCAAGACTACTGATGCTAAAGTAAAATTTCTAAGACAATTGTTACCTGATATTTAGAAATGTTAAAGACTGCAAGTTCAAAACAGCCTCTGGGATGTATCGAATGCAGTTCTGGTACAAATTAAGACTCTCGAGGGAGACGAAGTGACACGCTTCTGCTGGAAGCTCTGACAGTCTGTTCCGCGACAAATCTGAAGGGGAGGGAAAAATAAACATTCAGCAAAGTGATCTTAAAACTTCACGAGGACAAATATTGTCTGTATATTCGCCATCAAACAGTGGGAACAGTTGGACAGGAATCAGTTTCGCTGTCCCGCCTGCAAAATTTTCAAGATTATGAAATTACTCTCACTTCATGCATGAAATAAGATCAACATCTTTTAAAATCTTACAACCACAATGAGAAAAAGAGAGCCAGATGCAACATTCCTTTCATAGTCATGCTTTCATATCCCAGACTGCCTTATGCTTAGAGGAAGCTAGTTTAAGATACTGGTCTGAAGCTGCACCAGGGCAGGTTTAGGTTAGACATCAGGAAAAATTTCTTCACAGAAAGTGTTGTCAGGTTCTGGAATGGGCTGCCCAGGGACGTGGTTGAGTCCCCATCCCTGAAGGTATTTAAAAGAAGGGTGGATGAGGTGCTTAGGGACATGGTTTAGTGGCGGGATGGCAGTGCTACGTTAACAGTTGGACTTGATGATCTTAAAGGTCTTTTCCACCCTAGACGATTCTATGATACGATAAGCCCAGCTTCAAATCTCTGTTCCAGGACCATTTTTAGATTATGGAGTTGGTAATGGGCGGGTGATGCTGTAATGAAAAGAACCAGAAAGTACTTTTCTCCCAGCCCCCTGCTACGGTACTCTCTGCTACATGGAAATCTCAGCTTCAAATTTCTGGTCTAAAATATATACTTTATATAGATATGTGCATATTTTTAGGCAACAGTTCCAACAGGGGAAACATGAGGCACACACCTTAGACATGCCTTCTATACTCCAGCCAAAGCATTCCCTCATTCAGAGAGATACCAGTTCAAGCCTGTAATCTCAACCAGGCAATGGAAGGAATTTCAATAAAGGGTCTTCCCAGCTGCTGAAAAATGCCCTGCTTGCTGCTAGCAGTGTTTACTGTTTCTTTGTGATGGTATGTTCCTTGGTTGGCAAGTGACAGAAGTTTAACCAAAACAACTTACCAAATGTTTGTATTTGAAGTATCAATATTTTTCCTTAGCCAGTTGCAATTACAATCTCTCTATATAAAACATCCAGCAGTATTACTCTCCTTCAAGAGTAAAAGCTGCATTGTGATAAATAATGCAGTTCCAAAAGGTTCTTTTTTCTTTAAAGGTCAAGGAAAGCTCTTGCTTATAATTGCTAAAGGACAGTTCTCACAAATACACACTAACAGGTTCTTAACACACCCAGCTTTTAATTTTGACAGGAATTATGTTCTTATCATGAGCACCTTGCATGAGCAGGGAGTTCCTAAAGAGATACTGCCTATTTAATAAACTGACGCTTCACCTTCATATTTTTAAGGGACGGCAGACATTCATTGTAAAAACCCATCTAACCTGAATTGGTGTAGCAAATGATTAAAAAAAATAATAATTGTTTTTTTCTTTGTTTTCAATTTCCATTTTTCCTCATCAGCATAAGAGGATAAAAGCTCCCACCCCAAAGCATATACAGTAAACTGACATAGTAATTTTTTTATCTTTATTCCATGAATGAACCACCCAATACAGATTACTTTTTAAAGACTGACAATGCAGGTAAGTTTTGTGTATCTTGACATTTTTTATTTCTTGTTTAAAAGGGAAAGTTTACCAGAGTAAAAAAGCCCTCATCAGAGATATCCTGCCTACCACTGTTCCAGTGTATGCTGTTCTAGGTTGCCAAAAGAAAATGAATGCAGCTGGAACTGACTCTAGGTCTACCTCAATGCTCAGACAAGCCATGAGCCACTACTGATAAATAACCAGTAATTAAAAATCTCAGTAGAAAGAAGCACTATGAAAAACTGTAGAGAAAAATCTCTAGATGTACTTTAATGTACAAGTGGGAAGGAAGTGCCTTATCCCATCTACAGGTATGACGAAAGCTAACTATGATGGATATAAAGTTCAGTGGATGTTGCAGGGTGCACACAGATAAGAAAACATGGAAATCATGGAAACTTCTAATCCACCGATACAAAACTGTAATGGGAAACATAATGAAAATCCTTGTCTATTCAGTGATGAGTGTTTAAAAAAAAGAAAGTCACACTAAGAGCTTCTTTCCAGCTTCTGTCAGCCTCACACATGATGTCAGCTTAAACTTGTCCATACTTGATTTTGAAAACCCAACACTTCTAAATGAACATTTCTGACCAGCTCTGAGAGTGGGAGCTAAAAATACAAAGTAATAGAAGTCATCAGCATTAAGACTGCACTGTATATCTGAAATTGTTTAATTGCCTTATGACAGAAAACAGCTCCAGATCTTTGCCCCCCTTTTCTATTTTTCATGAAAGAGGACAACCTTCCCCCCCGCCTTTGTTTTTTCTTCTAAGAGTGAGCAAAATCCTCACTGTACAGATTGCTAAAGACAGCTTCCATAAACATCCTAACCTTACTATAAGCTAATCCAGATAAATGTGTCAAATGCAAAGACAGACCCCTGTGATGGATCCTGCTTTGGGCTACTGCCGAACCCAAAGTTTTCTTATGTCTCTGGCTAGTGCTAGGCTACCTGTATTGTCAGAGTTTGTGGGAAACTCATCAGAATGAAATACAACAGTGTTTCTGATCTCCTCACCACACAGCCCCACAAGCCCTATGCCAGCACCAGGGAAAAATGCTGGTGCAGGCAGCAGAGTCTTTTGTTCTGATAGCAGGGATTACTTTTACTGATTTAAAGAGCTCGCCAAACTGCAGCCTAAGTGGAGAGACCAAATGAGCAGGGCTGATCAGAACCTGCTTAAGAATCTGTAGATGGTAAAGGAGGCAATAAAATATCTGTGTATATCCTGCAGGGACACAGCAAACACTTTCAAGGGAATTTATGCAATGGACACTTATTTTGCACAAGTCGTCTCACATAATACACTTGTCTATCCTAGGGCTTCTTCTGCTTTACTTCCATAATTTAATGTTTTAGTGAAAATGACAGCAAACTCCAACCCTCCCCTCCTCCAAGTTGTATAGCCGCAGTAGATTTAAAGCTGAGTAATAGTGCTAAAACTACACAACAGTGCGATGTTCAAAACTGTGACATTACCAATAGGATGTCTCCTGTGTCAACATTGTTGTAAAATGTTAACAGAAGAGTGATTTCCAAACAAACATACTGTCCCAACACAAATAAAAATTATGTATCCTGAAAAATTGGGACAGGACACGGGGTAATGGTTTTAAACTGAAGCAGGGTAGGTTTAGACTGGATATAAAGAAGAAATTCTTTACAGTGAGGGTGGTGAAACACTGGAACTGGTTGCCCAGGGAGGTGGTGGAGGCCCCATCCCTGGAAACATTCAAGACCAGGTTGGATGGGGCTCTGAGCAACCTGATCTGGTTAGCGGTGTCCCTGCTCACTGCAGGGGAGTTGGACTAGATGACCTCTGGGGGTCCCTTCCAACCCAAAATATTCTATGAAATTTCTAGTAAGCTCAGCCAACATTGTATTCGTAATCACTGAAATTATCTATGATACATACAACTTGCCATAAGGCTTCACAGTACTGTTGCATAGCATAGAAGAAAGGGAGAAGAATGCAATTATTTCAGAGATGGCAAGAAACAAGCAAGAGTAATTTAGAAAAAATAGTTAGCTTCCACATTGACTAGATGTTTAAGCACCTATTTATTTTAAAAGTTTTTATAACATTGGTTCACTTATAATGTGTTTTTCTTAGGGACTCTGGAGGATGGAACTGAATTCTACCACCTATCTCACAACATAGTAACATCTTCAGCACACAGCTGTGCTGCTGAAGTCTGTGTTAATACTACCCATTTTAACAAAGAAGTAGGCTTCCCAAGTAATGAGATGTATTTTCTGTCAGAAGAGTCACAAAGAAAAAATTTCCTTCAACTCTGTTTTGGAAGAGTTTTAACCACAAACATGAGAATTCTCAATTGCTTTTTGTTTCACTTTATCTTACCAAACAACATTTTAAATCTGTTTACATATTGTTCAGACCATAAGGCATGGGAGTACTCGTCAAGAATTTCATACATTCTGAGCTACAATTTAGTATTTCTGAAGAAATAATTCCCTGCAAAATAACATTAGGTATGAAGAAATGAAAATACATTTTAAAAAACAAATGAGCTCATAGCATGATAGAAAAGAGACAACAAAGCTGGTTAGCAGCAACAAATAAGTCCTTCCAGACTTCCCTCAACCTACCGTGATTTTTAAAACTTGGCATTTCTGTTTAGCAGTAGAAATTCAGTGGAAACCAGATTAAATCAGAGCTGAATTTTGATGCTACAGTACAGTCTCTTAAATCATTCAAAATGGGTCTAATCAATTACAAGTTTGGTTAATAAGGTTGGAGCATTTTTACTCACACGGTGGCCATGAGACTGCTATCTTGTACACAGCATCCATGACTTCATGTGGGGGGCTAAGAGGGAGGGTCTGCCAGGACCGTAAGAAAAGACAAGTGCTAGAAAAAAGCCTAAGCTATACTGTAAAACAAGAATACCTCAAGAATTAGATAGAAGCAGTATATGATAAAATACAGTGTGAATTCTGAACCCACAAACAAAGAACTGCTTTTGGTTATTTATAATCCCTGCCTTGCCCGCCCTGCAAACCTCCAACAAGTATTTAAATTTCCCAAAGTCCAGAACACAGCATCCCTAAGACTTGGTGACATTTTTGATTTTGGCCACTTCCTCTGGAATCCTCCCGCACTCCAGAAAGCAGACCTGAAATGGAACCAGCAACAGGGCAAAGAGTACAGCATTGGACGAAACAATTCAACAACTCCATCCTCTTCCCCACCTTCCTCCTAAAAATATCTCAATGAAAGGAACAGCTCTAACAAAACCAGGAGAGAAGTAAAGAAAGCGCTCCAGTGATTGGTTATATATTTACATACATGCTACCCTGCAGTACAGCAGTAGCTGGTGCTTTTCCAAAAGAGAGAGTGGGAGTCAGGTAAAGGAACAAAAACTGAGGTATTTTATTGAAAATATCTTGTCAATTAAGACTTGTTTT